CAGGGAGCCCGATGCGGGGCTCGATCCCAGGACCCTGGGATCATGACCTGAGCCGAAGGCAGACGCTTAACGACTGAGCCACCCAGGCGCCCTCTTACTGCAGTTCTTGACTGCTTTTGACACTGTTGGCCACACCCTCATTCATGGAATGCTTTTTCTCTTGATTTCTACGATAACACTCTCTCCTAGTTGTCTTCCAGACCAACTACTGGTCTAGACCTCCTCAGATTTCCTCCTGCGTTCAACTTGTGTTTGTCTGCCCCTTAAATTACAGTGTTCCTAAGAGTATTACTGGTATTATTTTCTGTTTCCATTGCGTGTCTTTTCTTCTATTCTGTGTCTACAGATTCTCCCTGGGCATTCTAACTCTTTCCCAAGGTTTTAGGTACCATCCATAGGCCCTGTATTTCCCAATTCTCCATCTCTAGTCCAGGCTTCGGTGTTGCAAACTTTTACACTCATTTATCTATGAGACATCACCATCAGATGGCCCATTCAAGCTTGGTATATCTAAGTATCCCCTCCTCCCACTGTACCCTTGCCCCTAAATCTCGTCCTCCCTTATTCCCTCTTGGTGATGATTACCAAGTCCACCTAGTTGCTAAGCTCAGAAAATTGTACATTATTCTAGGCACATCCTTCCTATTAATCCTCAGTCAGTCCTACTGAACCTGTCCCCCTTAATATTCTTATATCACTCCCTTGCCTTTATCTTTTTTCTTTTTTTTAAGAAACTGTTTATTTTCTGCCAACCTTAGTTCCATTTTGTTTGCCTTTGTGGAAGAGCAGCTTAAGACCACCCGGTGGTTGCTCCTACCCATTCAGTGGCCTGAGCAGTGGGAGCTGTGGACTAGTCTTCAGTGGCCGGCTGAGCGCTCCGGTCCTTAGGAGGGAACTGCTGAAGAGGCACGGAGGGCCCCTGCTTGCCTTCAGACCGGTCTGCGACCTCAGGTTGAATAGCAGTGAATCTAGGAGCTGGAGCCATCCATTCACGCTGAAACTCCTCCTTGGTCACAGCCTTCTCAGCAGCGGCCTGCTCTTCCTTTTCAATCTCTTCAGGACCCTGTAGAAGTAGAGATCAGACATGACCGCCCATGGGTGCTCACGGGAAATGGTGCCATGCATGCGCAGAACTTCCCTAGCCAACATCTACCACAGCAGGCCCACTGAGTGAGCTCCCTTTTAGCAGGATTCATCAAGGTGCTCTGAAAGCAGAAAGGCCCAGTAATACCTGAGAGGCCCAGGCAGTTAAGAAATATGGAGAAAAGCAGGAGAAAACACAGGTCATTTGAAAATGTTTTCATTTTTTCTTAAAGTTCTGACACATTTGAATTGTACTTGTAGCCAGAATTACTATGGAACTCCACCCATTGGGCCAGAACCCTTGGTGGTGTTGGTAAAAGATTCACCCCTCATGTAGCATGCTGCCTATATTTGTGAGTTCATTGGCCAGCCAGTGGCCTCACTCCAAGCTCTAACAGTGAGTGGGCCTTTATCTTTTTGTATATCCCCTAGGTTAGGCCTTCATCATCTCTGGCTCAAACTATCACTGGAACCTCCACACTATGGCAAAAGTAATCTCTCCAACCTGTAAACATGTCCCATCACTTATCAAGTAGTCATTCTCAATGACTTCACCATCACCTAAGGGTCAAACCAAGTTCCTTGGCATGGCATATGAGCTCCTCCAAGATGTGGCCCATGGGGGTATCTCCAGAGCTTGGACTCTGGGTCAGACAGACCTGATCTTTGTCACAGATTTTCCATGCACTAGCTATATGACCTTGGGTAACTATTTAGTTTTCTCATTTAAAAAATGGGCCAACCATTGGGGTTATGGGAAAGATTGACTGGGCTGATGAAAATAAAACATTTAGCATTTTGCCTGACAAACAGTAAATATCAAGTAAGTGTTAAATTGTAGTAGTGATCAAAGAAAAACCAAATAAATGGATGGATAGTTCATGTTCATGGATAAGAAGACTTAATATTATCAAGATGTCAGTTCTTCCCAACTTGATCTATAGATTCAATGTGCTGTCTGCCAAAATCCTAGCAAGTTATTTTCTTGATTCTAAAGAATCTTAACAAACTGATTCTGAAGTTTATATGGAGAAGAAAAAGACCTAGTATAGCCAACATAATATTGAAGGAGTACAAAGTTGGAGGGCTAACACTACCCAACTTCAAGACTTATTATAGACCTATAGTAATCAAGACAGTGTGGTATTGGTGAAAGAACAGACAAATAGATCAATGAAACAGAATAGAGAGCCCAGAAATAAACCCAAATAAATATTTATTTTTGCATCTGACAAAGGTATAAAGATGATACAATGGAGCAAAGATAGTCTTTTCAAATGGTGCTGGAAAAACTGGACATTCAACATGTAAAAAAAAATGAATCTAGGGGCGCCTGGGTGGCTCAGTGGTTAAGCGTCTACCTTTGGCTCAGGTCATGATCCCGGGGTCCTGGGATCAAGCCCTGCATCGGGCTCCCTGCTCTGCGGGAAGCCTGCTTCTCCCTCTCCCACTCCCCCTGCTTGTGTTCCCTCTCTCACTGTGTCTCTCTCATCAAGAGAGAGACATAAATAAATAAATAAAATCTTTAAAAAAAAATGAATCTAGACACGGACCTTACACCCTTTACAAAAATCAACATGAATCACGACCCAAATTTAGAATGCAAAACTATAAGACTACTAGAAGATAACATAGAAAATAAATCTAGATGATCTTTGTTTTGGTAATGACTTTTTTAGATATGACACCAAAGGCAAGATCCATGAAAGAAAGAATTGGTAACCTGGACTTCATTAAAATTAAAAAGTTCTGCTCTGCAATAAACACTGTCAAGAGAATGAAAAGATAAGCCACAGACTGGAAAAAAATGTTTGCGAAAGACACATATGATATGATAAAGGACTGTTATTGAAAACTACAAAGAACTCTTAAAACCCCATAATAAGAAAAGACACAAACCAATTAAAATATGGACCAAAGATACCTTAACAGACACCCCAACAAAGAAGATATACAGATAGCAAATAAGCCTATGAAAAGATGCTCCACATCATAGGTCATCAGGAAAATATAATTAAAACAACAATAAGATATCACCACACACCCATTAGAATGACCAAAATCTGGAACACTGACAACCCCAAATGCTGGTGAGGATGTGGAGCAACATGAACTCTCATCCATCACTAGCAGGAATGTAAAATGGTACCACCACTTTGGAAGATAGTTCAGCAGTTTCATACTCTGACCATACAACCCAGCAACTGTACTATTTGGTATTTACACAAGGGCATTAAAAACTTATCTTCACACAAAAATCTGCACACAATGTTTATAGTAGCTTTATTATTGCTAAAATTTGGAAGCCACCAAGATGTCCTTCAGTAGATGAATTGATAAAGTGGTATATCTGGACAATGCAATATTATTTAGCACTAAAAAGAAATGAGTTGTCAAGCATGAAAAGACATGGTTGGAACTTAAATACATACTACTAAGTGGAAGAAGACAATATAAAAAAGGCTACAGACTGTAAGATTCCAACTACATGACATTCTGGAAAAGGCAAAACTATGGAAACAGTAAAAAGACCAGTGGTTGCCATGGGTTTGGAGAGAGGGAGGAATGAGTAGGCAGAGCGTAGAGAATTTTTAGGGCAATGAAAATATTCTGTATGATACTCTAATGATGGATACATGTCATACATTTGTTCAAACCCAACAGAATGTACATCCCCAATAGTGAGTCCTAATGTAAACTCTGGACTTTGAGTGATGATGTGTCAATGTAAGTTCATCAGTTGTAACAAATATAGCACATGGTGGGGGGGTGATGATAATGGCGGAGTGTGTGGGGCAGTGGGATAGGAACTCTCTGTACCTTCCTCTCAGTTTTGCTGTGAACCTGGAAGTGCTCTAAAAAACCAAAGCCCATTAAGAAAAAAGTTGCCATAGTGGCAATAATGGCTATAGCCCTAATAGTCGTGGTGGTGTTGCTATTATTAGTATCCTTTTCCTTAATAGGCTCTGTTTCTTCCTTTACCAAAATCTTGACTTTCCCTGAAAACACAGTGCTTTTCTTTTTTTAAATGCCTCCATATTGTTTCATTTTTGTTCTTTCTACTTAGAATGCCTTCTCCTGCTACTCCTACACCTTCTCCCCCCAAAAACTTCTCATTCATATTCAAGTTTTCGATGAAGCTTCAACACCCATATGAAGCTGTCTTCAACTCTGCCAAGTGGACTTTGGTATCTGTTTCTTCAGACTCCTACTGCCTCCTCTCTCATGCTGACACTCTAGCAGTGATCTCATTGTACCGTAATTGTTTGCAGGCCTGTCTCCTCTGTATTCAACGTGAAGAAGAAATCCAGCCCTTGTTCATTCCTTTAAATATATGGCTAGCATGGCATTGGGATACAGTAGGTGCTCAGTAATGCCCAACAACCACAGTAAAGTCCATGATTGCATTAAAGATGTCATGTTAATAGAGAAGCATGGTATATGCACAATATAAATATAATAATTAAATATCTACACATTTTGTGAAGAAGAGAGTAAGTTTTGATATGGAAGCATGCCACCCATCTTTGGTCTATGTTCTGCTACTTCCGTGCAGTTTTTCCTGACACCTCCCGCTGTCACCTGTCCTCACCAGTGTCACCTGTCCTTCTGTTAGTAACAGCCTGAATGGCATGGGATCACACGTTGTCCTACATCATTCTTTAATTATTTCATTTCATTTCTGATGCTTGTTTTCCCAACAACACTAGAGCTTCCCTAAGATAGGGATCATCCTACGTTTCATATAATCTCTTATGCTGGTAACTCACCAGAAAGAAGAGGCACCAGAATGTGGATGGCCGCCATTGGGCCAGGCCAGTTCTGCCTAACAGTGCTGAAAGTATTAACTTGGAGTTTTGTGGCCACCAGAAAAAGATCACTTGTAAATGTCTAGAGCCATACTAGGGATACATACGCATAATGCCCAACAACCACAATGAAATGATCGTCAGCATAGTCTTGGTATTCATGCTAATTCTTCCTCCATAACCAATAGGTTAAAAACAAAACAAACCTTAGATAGAAGTGGCTGAGGACAGGAACTCTATCCTTCCCTTCTTTTTCTGTGCCATTTCTTTATCCCCTGTTTGTCTGATACCATCCTTGTCTCTGATCTTTGTTAGAAAGGTCAGTGGTTTAAATCAGGGCTTTTATCCTAATGCAGAGAATTCTCAGTCTCCCTGCAGTTGCTTCTAAGTTTGTATATGCAATCTTCATCCTTACCTCAGTAATTCACTGGACTCTTGCCCACTCAAATAATTCCGGCCATTCCTGTTCCATGTATTGGTGAAATATAAAGAAGTTTTGCAGGACACACTCTGAAGAGCCTCCTCTAATAATTTGACACTGGAAATAGTCTTTCTTACTCTAAGTGAGTGTGTATACTTGTTTTGTAACACCTCTCACAATAAACCCTCCCTACACACACCACCCAAGCTGGGATGGTGGTTTCATAGAGAGCTAGAACCTTTGGCAGGAAGAAAATAACTTGCAAGTTGAATACTCCCTAGAAAAATTTCCCTCACTGACTTGACACCATTTCTTCCTGTGCTTACTAGCAAACTTTCCCTTCCCTCTTATAATGGTCCAGGTGTTCTGTTTACCCTTTCCATGCCCATTCCGTGAGGGCTAGCCCAGCATAAGAGCCAGCACATAAGCGAGCCACAAAACCACATGTGTTGACACGAACAGGTGATGAATTGACAAGTCAACAGTACTTTTAAATACCTGGATGCGTTCATCCTGTTTTTGATTGCTATGATAGATGCAGAAGGACTACGTATAAAGTCATTACATTCACAGAACTAGCACGCTTTATTGAGAACTTACTGGGGCCAGGCACTGCTCTTCAGAGTCTCAGAGGCTGATGGAGGAGACCAGACGAGAGGTGAACACAGGAAGTACAAAGGAAGGGAAAAAAATACTAAAGATCAACCCTAGTTAGAAAAGAGTCAATCACTTCTCTGTAGTAGTTCCTAAGGGACAGAACTAAGTGAGGTTTGGGTGAGGGAGGGCTTCATGGAAGCTGCGAAGTAAACAGTTGTTTGTCACTAAGCCCTGTTAGTAAAGAAAGTTTTCATGGAAAAGGTACTTTTAAAAAATACGGTCCTGGGGCACCTGGGTGGCTTAGTTGGTTGGGTGTCTGCCTTTGGCTCAGGTTTTGATCCTAGGGTCCTGGGATGGAGCCCTGTGTCGGATTCCCTGCTCAGAGAGTCTGCTTCTCCCTTTTGTGTTGCTCTCCCATTTGTGTTCTCTCTCTCTCAAACAAATAAATAAAATCTTAGGGGGGAAAAAAAAAACACTGTCCTTGTCACAGCCAAGAGGAGCCTAAAGAGACATGACTAAATGTAATAGGGGATTCTGGAACAGGAAAGGGGTTGGGTAAAAATCCAAATCAACTGTGGG